TTAATAGCTTAATACCTTTATATTTATATCTTTGATTGATTGCCAAGTAACAAATTACTTATAACATTCTTTCCCTCTCTCTCTCTCTCTATTCCAGGATCATCAATCAGGAGTATTAGCTGATCCTATTCATCAGCCACAGATGTACGTTGAGGAAACACTTCACCTACTGGACGTGAGTTTACACAAGAATATATTTATATTTATTTATTCATTTATTTTATTCAATAGTTAATACAGAACATGTCATTAGTCGAAGCTGATATTGAAGAGAATCTTAAAGTAGCCAATGATCTAAAGACAGCTTTAAGAACCCAACCACTGAGGTAAGAGAATAGGAATGAGTATTTGATCCTTTTGTCTTCCTATAGTTTTGTATTGCAGTTCATTGATATGAATGGATTGGAGTATTTACTTGATTTCTTAAGATCAATGAATAATGATGTCAGGTACATTAACCAGTATTAATGCTGTGATGTTGTGTACTAAATATTTCAAATATTTGGTTTTGTGTGTACATTGAAGTCTATTTATGTCCTTCCAGTTGTGGCTTGTAATTATTGTTACATTCCAAAGTTCCAAACCTCTTCCTTAAACATCTCCCTCCCTTCCCTTCTCTCTCTCCCTCCTTCTCTCCTTTTTCTCTCCCTCTCTTTTCCTATCTCTCTCCTATCTTATCTCTCTCCCTATTACAGGCAGAGTCAACTTCATTATATCATTCTTGGTTCCATTAAAGCTCTCATGAATAATTCCGTAAGATAATATTATTATTTATTTATTTTAATTTATAAATCATAGGATGGCAGAGCTCACGTATTAGCACATCCGACTGGTATTACAGTAATAGCTCAAAGTCTTAAAACTAATAATAATAAAATTAAAATATTAAGTAAGTGATAATGGTACATATAATACTTGCTCTTCTTCCTCCAGCCCTTGAAATCCTTGGTGCCGTCTGTCTGGTGCCAGGAGGTCATAAGAAGGTACTCAATTCAATGGTCCACTTTCAACAGTTTGCCTGTGAGAGGACAAGATTCCAAGTAATAATTATTAATAATAATAATAATCTAATTAATATAATAATATTGTATAATACAGACAGTAGTGATGGATCTTGCTCGTAGTCTTGATGAAGATGATTCTGATTCAGCTGCTCTACAAGTTGCAGTATTGTCATTCCTTAATGCACTCATTAATTACAAAGCAGGAGAGGTATATCATATACTGTATAATGAACAGCTGGACTCACTCCCTCCCTTTATCTCTAGGAGAGTCTTGAGTTCCGTCTTCATTTAAGATACGAGTTTTTAATGTTAGGTATTCAACCAATCATAGCCAGACTGAGGTTCCTAGCCATACCACAGTTGATTAAGTAAGTGCATGTTCATGTACATTTGTACTTGTACTAAAGACATCTGCTACTATTTCCTGGTGGTATTTGAATTTGAATTTTAAAATTTGAACTTGTAGACATATTGAGATATTTGAATTTGTACGTATTGAAGATGAGAAAGAGTTCACAGCTCAACTGAACATTGTGAGTTAATTAACTAATAAAATAAACAATACTTACTTGCTTTAAAGATGGAGAGAGTTGACTACACCAATGTTATAAACATGGCCAGTCTCCTACAGAAGAAGACAGCTTACACTCCAGCCTATGTGAACCTGGTCTCACTGCTGTACCATTGTTTACTGCTACCAGGTACTGTTTGTTCAGTTTTTTAAGAGAATAAATTCTTAATTTTTGATAAATTACCACACATACACACACACACACAGTCAGTAGTGTATATACCTACTTCATATTTGTCATTCTTGTCATATTTTCATTGTATATAGTTGGTGATCCTAATTATGACAAGTATTGGAGACTGATAGACAGGATGGTACAGCAGGCAGTGATACAACAGGACCATGGAGTGGATCCAGACATGTCTCCTCTGAAGATTAATGTTCATAAACTTGTTATACAGTAAGTGAAAGACCTACTGAGTTACATTAAAAGAAAGAGAGAGAGGGGGTCTGTTAAACTACTATGTATTGTTTCTTTGGAGGTTATTGCATGAAGATGAACAAAGATTA